TCCTTCAGAAGAGGCGGAAGACCCGGGAATCCCCAGAGAATCCAGGAGGGAGGAGAGAAATGTCAGTGCCCGGAATGTGGAAAATCCTTCAAAGCAAATGAAGCTCTTAAAAACCATCGAAGAATCCACACTGGAGAGAAACCTTATGGATGCCTGGAGTGTGGAAAGAGCTTCAGTCTGAGGGGAGTCCTTTATGTACATCAAAGGATCCACACTGGAGAGAAACCATTTAAATGCGTTGAGTGTGAAAAGCGTTTCTATAGTAGAGGATGTCTCCAGAGACATCAAAGGTTTCACAGTGGGGAAAAACCATTTGAATGTTTTGAGTGTGGAAAGAGCTTTACTCTGGGTGAACAGCTCCGTAGACATCAATGGATTCACAGAGAAGAAAAACCATATAAATGTCTGGTGTGTGGAAAGAACTACAGTGAGAAGAGCAGCTTTTTGGTACATCAAAGAATCCACACAGGAATAAAACCATATAAATGTCCAGAGTGTGGAAATAGTTTCAATCATAGGAGCACCCTTTATAGACATCAAAGGATTCATACAGGAGAAAAACCGTATAAATGCCTGGAGTGTGGAAAGAGCTTCATTCAGCGGAGAGAACTTTATACACATGAAAGAATCCACACAGGAGAAAAACCACATAGATTCGGGAGTCCCCAGAGAATCCAGGAGGGAGGAGAGAAATATCAGTGCCCAGAATGTGGAAAATCCTTCAAATCAAATGAAGCTGTTAAAAACCATCAAAGAATCCACACTGGAGAGAAACCTTATGGATGCCCGGAGTGTGGAAAGAGCTTCAGTCAGACGGGACACCTTTATGCACATCAAAGAATCCACACTGGAGAAAAACCATATAAATGCCTGGAGTGTGGAAAGAGCTTCAGTCGGATGGACTACCGTGATAGACACCAAATAATCCACACTGGAGAGAAACCGTTTAAATGCTTGGAGTGTGGAAAGTGCTTCAGTGTGAGGGGAAACCTTTATAAACATCAAAGGATCCACACTGGAGAGAAACCATTTAAATGCCTGGAATGTGAAAAGAGTTTCAGTAGTAGAGGATGTCTCGAGAGACATCAAAGATTTCACACTGGTGAAAAACCATATGAATGCTTGGAGTGTGGAAAGAGCTTTACTACGAGTGAACAGCTCCATAGACATCAATGGATTCACAGAGGAGAAAAACCATATAAATGTCTGGTGTGTGGAAAGAACTTCAGTGAGAGGAGCCGCTTTTTGGTACATCAAAGAATCCACACAGGAGAGAGACCGTATCAATGCCCAGAGTGTGGAAAGGGCTTCAGATGGAACAGCAACCTTCGTGAACATCAAAAAATCCACTCAGGAGAGAGACAACTGTATAAATGCCTGCAGTGTGGAAAGAGCTTCACACGGAACAGCAACCTTAGTGAACATCAAAAAATCCACTCAGGAGAGAAAGAACTGTATAAATGCCTGGAGTGTGGAAAGACCTTCAGTGAGAGGAACTGCTTATTTCTACATAAAAAAAACCATTTAGGAGAAAAACCTTATAAATGCCTGAACTGTGGAAAGAGCTTCAGTCTGAGGAGTACCCTTCGTAGACATATTAAAATCCACTCAGGAGAAAAACCATATAAATGCCTGGAGTGTGGAAAGAGCTTCAGTGAGAGCAGCAGCCTTGATAATCATCAAAGAATCCACTCAGGAGAAAATCCTTATAAATGCCTGGAGTGTGGAAAGGGCTTCGTTTGGAAGAGCAGCCTTTATAGACATCAGAAAATCCACTAAGGAGAAAAACAATATTAATGCCTGGCGTGTGGAAAGACCTTTATTTGATGGTGGAAACCTCCCTAAACAACAAAGGATCCACACTGGAGAAAAACCTTATAAATGCCTGGAGTGTGGAAAGAGCTTTATTGTTAATGGACATCTCTGTGGACATCAAAGGATTCACATGGGGAAAAAATGCTAAATATATGTTGAGTGTGGAAAGACCTTCAGTCACAACGGTGCCACTAAAATAACGATAGCATTTAGACTTACATGCCACCTTAGAGTGCTTTACAGCGCACTCTGGGAGATTTACAAGGTAAGCATTATTTGCATATTGCCTGCAACTATCTGGTTCCTCATTTTTCATCCTCAGAAGGATGGAAGGCTGAGTCAAGACTTGAGCGCTGTCAGAATTGAACTCCAGGCTGTGGACAGTCTACCTGCAATACTGCATTTTTAACAACTCTTTAAAATGCGAATACAGTACACAAGGATGTTGACACACAAAGGTTGAGATGGCAATGTAGGGTAAAATTTCACAACTTGTCTTATTGAGCTGTAATTAGATCCGTGACAAATATTCTTAGCCTTTGAGAAGCCCTTTTGCATTTCATCAATTGCATTTTAAAGAGTTATTAAAAGTGCAGTATTGCAGGCAGACTGTCCGCAGTCTGGAGTGACTCGTGACACTTTTTCCCATGCGAACGTTCTTCTTTTAATGCCATGCTCATTTTCAATGGTTATGCTTAATATTATGGGATGTTGCTGTCCGTGTCTCTTACATCACAGCTTTTCACACATTGTAGCACTTTCAGGACATGACAATATTTGAGGACTACCAGTGCTTAGTAAGGTGTCAAACAATTGATGACTAAAAAAAAAACGGTGGGGGATTTGGGGTTTTACTGACTAGATTCATTAGTTGTTATAGAATTGGCTAGTTAATAATATTATGTAAAAGTAAAAAGATGAGGTTCAATGTTAATGCTTCCTTCTACTGCAACAGAGGAAGTCTGTTCTTTGTCCCTTCTCCCCCTCCCTTTTTCCCCCTTTTTCCTCCCCACTGTGTCCTACTATTTGCTTTTGTATTTTATTCTATAATCTAATAAAATGTTACAATCTGTAGAAAAAAGTAAAAAAGTACCAGTTTTAATTTTTTCCGGTGGCAGTTCCTTTGCTGAATCCCTTTCCCTTTGCACTGACAAATGTATGATGAATTTATCCATGTTTATTAATATGCACCGCTACCCAGCTAGCTCAGGGGTCTTCAAACTTGGCACTTTTAAGACTTCTGGACTTCAACTCCCAGAATTCCTTAGCCATCATGGCTGGTTGAGGAATTCTGGGACTTGAAGTCCACAGGTCTTAAAGTTGCTAATTTTGCAGCTTGCTGGTCCGCCCTTCTTCCTCTCTCCCTCTCTTCTTCCTCCGTCTTCTGAGCTCTCCTTCCACAGTGTAGAATACAGATAGAATTTAAGCCAGAACTGTTTTTGTTAGGAATATTAGGACTTAGTTATGGAAAAGAGAACGAATACTTAATATTACATGTACTGACAGCCACGAGAATAGCATTTGCCCTCTTTTGGAAAAATGAAAACCTGACCAGATTATAATCACGAAAATCCTAGAATGTGCAGAAATGGATAGATTAACTTTAGAGATTAAAGAGAAAGAAGATTCAGTTTATTTCAAAACATGGGAAATTTTTTTATCAATGGTTAGCAACACGATAGAGCGAGAAAAGGTGATGAAATTTAACAGGATGAATGATATTTACAGACTAAGCCTTACTTTTATGATTATTGGTTTTTATCAGTGATTATAATTGTTTAGTATTATATTAATTACTGTCATTTACTATTTGTACCCGGATGATAGTCTGCTTGCTAAAGCGTTGAATTTTTGTTGGGGGTAACCCCACTACTGTATTTATCCCTACCCTCATCCCAACCCCATTCCCTAACCCCATCCAAAATCCATACCGACCTTACCGCTTCCCTACCCTTATAAAACATAATAAAACATTTATTTTAAAAAAAACTAAGGAAGCCAACACTTTGGGCTCATTGCTAGCCTTTATGAAACAGGCTAAAATATTCCAAAAACCAAGGCACACAAACAGCCTCTGAATAACAAAACGCTGTAAAAAGTGTACAAAACTCCTTATGGTAACCCAATCAAGCTGCCAGTTGACCAGGAACCCACTGGCTTCCGAAATAAACCAACCTCCTTTCCGACATGCTCGTCTCTCGGCTTTTCATTTCATCAGTGCTGATTGCATTCTCCTGGCTGGAAAAAACGAACCAGAGGACCTTTTCTTCCAGCAACAGCTGCTGCTTCTTCCCTGCCTTTTTGCTCCCTGCCTGCCGAGCTCTCCTTCCACAGCTTCTTCTCCATCCCCTTCTCTTTCCCTGTCATCTTTTTTCCCCTTTCCCGCCCAAACCGCCTCCTTTTATATCCTCTCCTCCCTGCCTTTTTCTTTAGTTTACCTCCAGCTCCACCTGCTTCTGGAAGCGCCAATGAGCTGGAGCCCTGCCAGCTCCTGGGGCTTCTGCCGAGCCCAGACAGTCCTGCAGCTTTCTCTCCCTCAGGCGTGGGTCGCTTCGGCTCATTCTCCTCCCCCGCTACACTTCTCTAGGACAGTCACATATAACCTGCCACGTAGCAAATTACCACAGGTGGTACGCATACTACCGGTTGAAAAGTCCTGTCTTATGTAACTGAGCAGGGCGATCTCTTCCATCTAATCAAGTTTTGTTCTGTACTTTTTCTGCTATATGGAATGTAAAATGAAACCTGGTTCTGTGTCCCGGATTCCCTCTTTTCATTAAGGGAAACCTCTTTGCTATAAGTCTAATAAATTGCCTTTAAATGATCATCCTACTTGGTGCCTAATTGCGGCAAGTGTGACATGGCTGAATCTAGAGCCAATTTGGCCTTTGTTGTTGTGGCTGTGAAAGCGCTCCTCCATGTCATTCATATAATCTATGTGGGTTTTCCAAATGTCAGTACCATGTAAGGCTATACCCAGATATATGAAACTCTTCTAAATTGGATGCTCTCAATGGTCGCCTTGTCTTCAAAATTTTTAACAGAAACATATTAGAGCAAGCGAGATTATATATATATATATATATGTATGCATGCAGGAAGTTTTTCTACTAGGGGCGTTAAGCAGGCTCAAATCGCAACTGCGAAACATTACAAATCCAAATTTCTTTTTCTGACAAAGAGTTAAAGAATTAAATTGGGAGACTAAGATGGCCATTTCGAGCTCATTCTGCTCTCTTCAGTTAGCCACACCCTTTATGGGATTCGAACCGGGGCAGTTTACATACTAGGCAGTGATTTAACCACCAAGCCACAGGCTCTCCTCCCCTCTTTGCCAGCCCAGTCAAGGGAGTATATGCAGGACGTTTTTCAGACAGACGTCTGATTGATTACACCTTGACATTTTTAACTGCTATACTGCAGTTTTATTTTTTTATATATATACACATGATAGATAGATAGATAGATAGATAGATAGATAGATAGATAGATAGATAGATGATAGATAGATAGATAGATAGATAGATAGATATAGCATACAGCATATAGGAGGACCCACTTCAATCCCACATCTTAAGAAAGCAGAACTCTTGGAGACGGTTTCCTCCAATAGCAATTTTTTTAATAGTAGTAGATAGTAGGCATAAAAGACAGGATCTGAGGGATTCCTTCACAGATCGATACTTTAAAGTACCCCCAAGCAAACCCCACCCCACAGTTCATCCGGACGGTTCAGACCGGCCAATCCCCAGGTGCTAAGTCCATCGTGGGAAAGGACACCTGAGCCTGGCACTGTGTGATTATCAGAAATACATGCCAGTTGCTATGAGCCTGAATGTTGGTCACGTGACCAGGGGGATCTTCAATGCTCACAATTGTGCAAACTGATCATATGTCACTTTTTTCAGCACTGCTATAACTTCAAACAATCAGCAAAGAAATGGTTTATAGTCAAGGATTCTCTCCACAGCCCTTTAAAAATAGCCCACAATAGCCCCCAAGAAGGGAACCCACCGAGGTCAAAATTGTCCTGCAACTAATCTCCAAAACTGGCCCAATTGGGTAGAAAAACTGCTCAGCTGTCCAAACTGTTCCCAGCCAGCATTTCAACTCAGTCCCCAAACTCCCCCCCCCCCCCGCCGAAAGAGTTTGGCTTTTCAAGGAAAGAAATGGGCACTTCCTCTTTCCCTCTCTTCTTCCTCCCTATCTTCTGAGCTCTCCTTCCACAGTGTAGTAAGAATGCACCCCCAGTCCCTTCACTGTACCCCTAAAGAGACAGGAATCAAGCGCAAATTAAGAAAGGCTCACAAAAGCCTCCCACTAGACTCTGGGGTTTTGTTGTTTTTTTTTGCATTCCAATTTCACAGCCTTCTTTCCTCCCATTATTCCTTTTTCTGTCCTTCCCACCCTTGTCGATCCTACCTTTCTTGATACTATTCCCGCTGGTGTATCTTCCAATCCCCCCCCCCCGTGGTCATTTTGGGCCGCACGTCTGAGTCCGGCATTATGGGAGGAAAGAAGGCTGTGAAATTGGAATGCAAACAAGGGGAGGCGGGAGAACTGAGGCAATTACAGCGATTACTGATTTAACAAGGTTTATAAGAAAACTCCCCACCCCTAACCCTCACTCTAATGACGCTGGCAGTGGACCAGCGAAAGCTAAGGTTGTTTTTAGCATTGTAAATAGTTGTTTTTATTGTTTTATTTTTTAACAATAAACAGCTGGTTTATATCTTTCCCAGAGTTCCAGGATTTTATATCGTTGTACAGATATGCCTGGGATTCGTATTTTTATAGTAATTAAGGATAGATAGATTAGATAGATAGATAGATAGATAGATAGATAGATAGACAGACAGACAGACAGACAGACAGACAGACAGACAGACAGACAGACAGACAGACAGACAGACAGATAGATAGATGATGATAGCATATAGGAGGACCCACTTCAATCCCACATC